GTTGGGCGCGGTATTCTGCGCGCTGTGGACTGCCTACACGCAGCGCATTTTGCTCCCTGGATCCAGGGAGCCCAAATCAGACCCGAGGCTGCACACGGAAGCGACCATCAACAAGTTTTTGGACGACTGGAAGGGCTGCGGGTACAACGCCTACTTGATGGACACGAGGTACAACTACCGCATTGATTGGGCCAAGCTGCGGGCCGAGTACCTGCGTCACACCCGGTCCGACGGCAAGGGCAAAGGCAACCTCCAGCAGAGCAGCTGGCGAGACCGTGCGGCAAGCTCCTGGGGCACTTGGGGCACCTGGCAGAGCGACTGGAGTGACGCCTGGCACGACGACCGTTGGCAGACGGGAGGCAAGCGTGGTGGAGGCAGACCTGACGAGCGAGGCGAAAAGAGGCACCGATGGGGATAATGAGCTCCCTTCCCATCCATCCAGCACCTAGACAGCCAGAAATGTCAATCGTACTACACTCTATGTGCGGCCTTCAGCTGCCTTCCGTTCTCTCTCAACCGTGTGGCAGCCTCGCTGCCTCCCTCCCTGGTTCACACACTTCCTGCCTTTGGACCCAAGTGTGTCGACCAGCAATGCCATCTGCTTCGCTGCGCGGGGGAGCGTAGCGCGCAGACCCTAGTTGGCCCCTGGCCACGCTGTAGCGGTGCTCACCAGTGGCCCGAACGGTCCTGTGCTCGGCTAAGCTGCTTCAGGACCGACCGAGGCCCACTCCCGAGACGTGCTTTAAACCCTGGGTCTCTCAATCAGACAACGGCCTTCAGCCGCCCCTTGGACTACAGACCCAGCTTGCGGCATCTTGCCGCCCCTCCTGGTACGCGCACTTCCTGCCTTTGGATCCAAGTGTGTGTGTGCCAGCAATACCGTCCACATTGCAATCTCGGGATGCGTGTGGCCATGGTGGCCCCTGACCCCACTGTAGCTGTTTTCGCCTGCCAGGCCCTGCCTGGCGCGCAGCTCTGTGGCTGACGACCTGGTGGTTTTCGCCCCGTCCCCAGTTCTGCGCCTCTACTCCCTGGGCTCTTCAAGTTACTACGGCCTTCAGCCGTGATCTCTACCTCTCCTGGGAGCGACGCGGGACTCGGAGGTCAGGCTGCCATCGTCGTGGGTCGCCCCGCCATGCTGGCGGAATGCCCACCTGATCCGCTTGCGCCCTACACCGACTGGGCCGATGACGTGACCCCGATCAGCGCCGCCTTCCACCGTTGCGTTGCGTTACCACCTTGTGGACTGCGCTGCACGGTCTCGGCGTATGACGGGCACTCGGTCCTCCTTCGTTGCTCCCGCGCGCATTTAGTTGTGCGATCCTCCCTGGGACTCTGTGACCGTGAAGGACTTGCTGTCTTGGGTATACGACAGTTGCTGTCCTTCGAGCGCTTTCCTCGACCTGGCGGCGTGGGTCGCTTGGCGCTGCTGTCACTTAGTCGCCTGGTGCACGCTTCCCTCCGATTGGCCGTGTGTCCCTACGGTGGGTACCCGTGTACTCCTGCACTGCGGCATACCAGAACGTTGGTCTGCTGCCTGCAGGCGCATCTTCAGCAGTACGGCGTTTGCCTTTGCCTGTTCGGCCTCAGGCACACCCGATCTGCCGCGGATGCGTTTTTTGAAGCTGCGACGGTTCGCTGGCGCTGTCAGAATCCCCCTCCTTGCTGGACGACGTCAGCCAGTTTCGGTCTGCTCATACCCGTCAGATTCCCTTGACTGACTTTCTCGCACGGAGTTTGGTTCCCACCACTACGCGGTTGTCGCCTGGCACGACCACGGCTGGGAACGTACGGCGCGCCATTTTGGCCGCGCCCGGCTTGCTCCTGGGTGACTGTCCTCTCAGACTCCCTGGGTTGCAGCTTGCACGACCGCCTCGGGTGGCTGACCCTACAGACTCCCTGGGTTGCAGTTTGCACGACCGCCTGACCTCTCAGACGCCCTGGGTTGCTGACCCCCCCCGCCGCCTGATCCGCGGCCCCCGCGCGCGCCCGGGAATTTAGTCGCGGCCGCAACCCGACCGTGACTGCTCGCCGCCAGCGTTTCCGCCTTCGGCTGTAAAAACAAATCCCCACCAGCCCATCCAGAAACGCTGCCCAGGGGAGTTGAGGTGATCAGGGAAGCCGGAGAGCATGCAGAATAATAAAGGGCGGGAGAAGCTGTCACGTACCCCAAGAGGGGGAGGATGGAGAAGGAATCCTCGTGGGAGGGGGAGGAAGAGGAGGAGGAGGAGGAGGAGGAGGAGGAGGAGGAGGAGGAGAATGAGGAGGAGGATGTGGAGTAGGGAGAGGACGAGGAGGACGAGAAGGAGGAGAAGGAACAGAGGGAGGAGAAGGAGGAGAAGGAGGAGGAGGAGGAAGAGGGGGATGAGAAATTGAAGAGGACGGCGAACCGAAGAGCCAGAAGCGTCTTAAATGCATTTCGGAGATCTTTTTGAGGCTTCTTGGGGGTCTCTTGGGAGCCTCTTGGAGGCCTCTTGGGCGCCTCTTGGGGCCGTCTGGGCGCCTCTTGGGGCGCTCTTCGGGCGCTCTTTGGGGCTGTAGAGGCGCTCTTGGGGCCATCTTGGAGGAGATCGATCAACGAAGGGGGGTTCCCTAATTAGCCTCCCCCCTCAGGAGCTCCAAACATCGCTCGCCTCTTGGGGCGCTCTTGGAGCGCTCTTGGGCGCTCTTGGGGCCGTCTTGGGGCTCTCTTGGGCCTCTTGTGGGGCCCTCTTGGGCCATCTTGGAGCCATCTTGAGGCCTTGGATGGCCATCGGAAGCGAAACGGGGAGAAAGCAACACACATTGATTTTCCTAAGGTTTTGGGACGATGTTGGCCTCTTCGGGGCCACTTGGAGCCGTCTTGGGGCCGTCTTTGGGCCTCTTGGAACCATCTTAGGAGCCATCTCGAGCGATCTTGCGCTATCTTGAGCCATCTTGGAGCTCATCTTGGGCTCTCTGACGCGCTCTTGAAGCCATCTTGGGGCCAAAAGAGCCGTCCGACCGCTCGGGGAACCCTCCGTCCAGATCCAGGGGAGGGGGTAGGGGGAGGGGTAAACCCCTCCCCAAGGGGGAAGAGGGAGGGGTGGAAGAGGATCTGTTCTAGACCACCTACGCCCAGAGGGCTGGTGGGATTGAAGAGGACGGCGAACCGAAGAGCCAGAAGCGTCTTAAATGCATTTCGGAGATCTTCTTGAGGCTTCTTGGGGGTCTCTTGGGAGCCTCTTGGAGGCCTCTTGGGCGCCTCTTGGGGCCGTCTGGGCGCCTCTTGGGGCGCTCTTGGGGCGCTCTTGGGGGCTGTAGGGGCGCTCTTGGGGCCATCTTGGAGGAGATCGATCAACGAAGGGGGGTCCCTAATTAGCCTCCCCCCTCAGGAGCTCCAAACATCGCCTCTTGGGGCGCTCTTGGGGCGCTCTTGGAGCGCTCTTGGGCGCTCTTGGGGCCGTCTTGGGGCTCTCTTGGGCCTCTTGTGGGGCCCGCTTGGGCCATCTTGGAGCCATCTTGAGGCCTTGGATGGCCATCGGAAGCGAAACGGGGAGAAAGCAACACACATTGATTTTCCTAAGGTTTTGGGACGATGTTGGCCTCTTCGGGGCCTCCTTGGGGAGCTCTTTGGCCACTTGGAGCCGTCTTGGGGCCGTCTTTGGGCCTCTTGGAGCCATCTTAGGAGCCATCTCGAGCGATCTTGCGCTATCTTGAGCCATCTTGGAGCTCATCTTGGGCTCTCTGACGCGCTCTTGAAGCCATCTTGGGGCCAAAAGAGCCGTCCGACCGCTCGGGGAACCCTCCGTCCAGATCCAGGGGAGGGGGTAGGGGGAGGGGTAAACCCCTCCCCAAGGGGGAAGAGGGAGGGGTGGAAGAGGATCTGTTCTAGACCACCTACGCCCAGAGGGCTGGTGGGATTGAAGAGGACGGCGAACCGAAGAGCCAGAAGCGTCTTAAATGCATTTCGGAGATCTTCTTGAGGCTTCTTGGGGGTCTCTTGGGAGCCTCTTGGAGGCCTCTTGGGCGCCTCTTGGGGCCGTCTGGGCGCTTGGGGCGCTCTTGGGGCGCTCTTGGGGGCTGTAGGGGCGCTCTTGGGGCCATCTTGGAGGAGATCGATCAACGAAGGGGGGTTCCCTAATTAGCCTCCCCCCTCAGGAGCTCCAAACATCGCCTCTTGGGGCGCTCTTGGGGCGCTCTTGGAGCGCTCTTGGGCGCTCTTGGGGCCGTCTTGGGGCTCTCTTGGGCCTCTTGTGGGGCCCTCTTGGGCCATCTTGGAGCCATCTTGAGGCCTTGGATGGCCATCGGAAGCGAAACGGGGAGAAAGCAAAACACATTGATTTTCCTAAGGTTTTGGGACGATTTTGGCCTCTTCGGGGCCTCCTTGGGGAGCTCTTTGGCCACTTGGAGCCGTCTTGGGGCCGTCTTTGGGCCTCTTGGAACCATCTTAGGAGCCATCTCGAGCGATCTTGCGCTATCTTGAGCCATCTTGGAGCTCATCTTGGGCTCTCTGACGCGCTCTTGAAGCCATCTTGGGGCCAAAAGAGCCGTCCGACCGCTCGGGGAACCCTCCGTCCAGGTCCAGGGGAGGGGGTAGGGGGAGGGGTAAACCCTTCCCCAAGGGGGAAGAGGGAGGGGTGGAAGAGGATCTGTTCTAGACCACCTACGCCCAGAGGGCTTGGCGGATTCCACGGCGCTCCAGCCCTCAGCGCCGCCGCCCCCCCCCCGCCTCTCTCCGCCCCCCGCCCCCTTGGACCTCCCTCCGCGCCTGCCCCTCTGCGCTTCGGTCCTCCCTCCGGCCCCCCTTTGCCAGGAATCCGGCCCCCTGCCCGCCCCGATCTGGGAATCCGGCCCCTCCCCCGCCGCCCTCTCGGTCTCGCCATCGCTTCCCCTTGCACCCCCCCTCTCGATTTCGATTTCCCTCCCCCCTCTCTCGCCATCGCTTCCCCTTGCATCCCCCCCTCTCGATTTCCCCCCCTTCCCCTTCCCCTCGTCGGCGTGACCCCCCCTCATCTTTTGACCCCCCCTCCCTCTTTGCGAGGCACGGTGGGAGAGCTGCGGCGGCCTGGAGCTCGACCCCGTGCTCGGCAGTGGAGCGGTCGTCCTGATGGACGCGGAGTGGATGGTGAGGCGAGCGCGCACTGGCGGCGTCCTCGAGCCGCGCCAGGCGTTGCCGCCGACGGCCTTCATTTCCCACAGCGCCGTCAAAGCCGCGGGTGATTTTCTGCTGCCCATCGCGTGCATATCACACTGCTGGCTGCAGGCGAACCACCCGGATCCACGCGGGCACAACCTGCGCATCGTGGGCCAGGCCCTGCAGCTGCTGCTGGTTTTTTTGAGGAGGAGCAGTGACCGCTGGGGTGTATTCATGGACTTCTGCTGCATCCATCAAAACTGCAGGGACCGCGAGGGCGTTCCCCAGCAGCACACCTACCAGCGGCTCGAAGGCTCAGATTCGTTCGAGGACGATGCCCTCGGCCGCTTCGAGCTGGAGCATGCGCTCTTCAAGGAGGCATTGGGGAGCCTGGGGAGCTTCTACTCCCACCCCGAAACTGTCGTCTTCATGCTGACGCGGTTTCCAGATGATTACGGCGATGCTGCAAAGTACACCCGGTCGGGCAACACGGAGCAGTACTTCAACCGTGGCTGGTGCTTCTGCGAGTCCTCCTGGGGGATGCTGACGAAGCCGTCTATCAGGCTCTTGGACCTCGGCCGATGCACGGGAGCGGAGACCCACTACCGGAAGTTGAGGGAGACCTGCGCCGCGGGGCGCCGGGTGCCCCTCCTGCCCGACGCCTTCGACGTGGAGCTGGAGAGCAAGGGCTTCACCAACGGCAAGGACGACCGGCCCCGGGTCGCCGAGCTCTACCGCTCCGCCTTCGCGCAGCGCTTCGAGGCCGCGAAGGAGCTGCACTACAACGTGCTGCAGTGGGGGGACGAGGAGGCGCAGCAGCTGGCCGCCGTGCTCGCCTCGGGCGCCGCGCCCCGGCTGCAGGCGCTCTTCCTCCAGAACAACCGCGTGGGCGACGAGGGCGCCGCGCGGCTGGCGGAGGCCCTGCGCGCCCCGGGCGCGCTGCCCCGGCTGCGGCAGCTCGACCTCCAGAACAACCGCGTGGGCGGGCCGGGCCGGGCGGCGCTGCGCGCCGCGTGGGCGGAGGCCGGGCGCTGGGAGGGCGGCCTGGACCTCGGCGACTGAGGAGGGCCGGGCGCGGCGCGGCGCGCGGCCGTCCGAGGCGCGCGGCGCGAGAGGCCTCGCCGCCTCCGCCGCCCTCCCGGGGCCCTGCCCCTCTGCCCTCCTCCCCTCCTCCGCGTCTCCTCCTTGCGCTCCGTCCGCTCCTCCGCGTCTCCTCCTGCCGCTCCTCCCTGCCTTCTCCGGCGTCGCTGCTCATTCCTCCTCTTCCTCCTCCTCCTCCTCCTCCTCCTCCTCCCCTGCCTCCTCGTGCTCCTCCGGGCTCGTTTCTGTTCTCCCCCCGCCCCCCGTGTTTTTTGTTCGGCCCCCCCACCGGATGTCGTTCGGGGTGGTCTCTTCATTTTTGCCCCTCGGAGTTTTTTCCTTCCCCTCGCTGGGGGGGTGGGGTCCGGGGTGTCCCCCCCGCCCTCCTCTCGGGGTCTCTTTCTGTGCCCTCGGAGTCTTAGTTCTTTCCCTTGGGGTCGCTTGCTTTCCCCATCGTGTCTTCGTTCCCCCCCATCGCGTATTTTTCTGTTCCCTCCTGCTCCTCTTTCCTCCCCTCCTTCCTTGTCTTTGCTCCCCTCCCCGCGCCCTCTTGGGCCGTCTCGGAGCCGAGCTCTTGGGCCGTCTTGGGGCCCGTGGGCCGCGTGATTCTAAAGAATACGAGGAAGCAGGCCATGGGAGCCGCCCGGGGGCCGCTTCACTCGAACAAAAACTATGGAAAACTGTCCAGTAGACCGATTTGCCCAGTCCTGCCCCCTCCGCCGGACCCCCTCTCCAAAATGGCTTCGCCCCCTACGAAATGTCTCTCGCTCCGCTCTTTCCGTCACCTGGGCTGGACACTGTGAAGCCCAAAGAAGCTAATCTGCTGAACACGTACGTTTTTCGGAGGGAATGGGGCGATGTTTTGCCTCCTGGGGGCTCCCTTGGGGGCCTCCTGCGGCGTCTTGGGAGTCTCTTGGGCCGTCTCAACGCCATAATTATTAGGCCCTCTTGAAGCGTTCCTGGGCCGTGTTCGGGCCCTCGTGGACCTCTCCGATGCCGTCTTGGAGGTAGAGGCGCTCTTAGGGCTGACTTGGGCCGTCTTGGGCCGAAAATTGTCAAAATTAGGGCCATCAGACCTGGGGCCGGCACGGAAACGGAAAGGGCGCTGCAGCAATTTGACCGAAATTACGCACACCACCGTTCGTACTGGGAGCCTTGGGCTGGGCGCATGAGCTGGGCGGGAAGCCTGTGAAGGCTTCCCCAGACGTTTCACGTCGTCGTGCGTATGGGGGCGGGGACCTTGGTGTCAAAGCTGTGTCCGTCACTGGGCCGTGTGTGGGCCTCAGGCCGTTCGCTGTTGGGAGCCTTGGTGTGAAAAACTTTTTGCGTTACCGAACGCTCTTTTACTTGGCGTCTCTGGGCCTTCTTGGGGGTCCACCGCGACCCACCCGCGAGCCACCCGCGACCCACCCTGCGACCCACCCAAAATTTTCGGCGCCTGCGGCGGGTTTCTTTTGCATTCGTATCAGGTGGAGAAACTGCGACCCACCCGCGACCCAGACCGCTTTCAGTGTACAAATCAAAATTTTCGGCGCCTGCGGCGGGCTGTTTTTGAATTCCTTCCAGGTGGAGGTGGAGAGCCCGCGACCGACCCGCGACCCAAACTACATTCACTGAACAAGCCACAACTTTGGCGCCTGCGGCGGGCTTCTTTTGCATTCGTTCCAGGAGGACAACCTGCGACCCAAACCGCGTTCAGTGTACAAATCAAATTTTCGGCGCCTGCGGCGGGCTGTTTCTGAATTCCTTCCAGGTGGAGGTGGAGAGCCCGCGACCCACCCGCGACCCAAAGTACGTTCACTGAACAAGCCAAAGATTCGGCGCCTGCGGCGGGCTTCTTTTGCATTCGTTCCGGGTGGCCCACCAGCGATCCCCCCCGCGCTGATTTTGTCAGAGCACGTAAATCGGCGCTTGCGGCGGGTTTGCTCGCATTGGTTTGTGAAAGCGCTCTCGTGCCATTCCCCCGATCGGGCCCACGTTGACTCTACAACAACACATCGGCGCCTGCGGCGGGGCTGTGTCTGAACACGTTCATTGACAATCCAGTTGCCTGCTGCCGCGGAGGAGGGAAGGAGGAGCAGGGCGAGGAGCACGACGACGACGACGACGACGACGACGACGACGACGACGAGTACGAGGACGAAGAGGAGGCCGACGACGAGGGCGAGGAGGAAATGGGAGGAAAAGGAGGGGGGACGGAGGGGGACGACGAGAAAGGAGGGAGGAGGAGGGGGAGGAGGAGGAGGAGGAGGACGACGACGACGACGGAAAGGAGGAGGGGTGAGGATCGGGATGGAGGAGGAAGAGGAGGAGGAGGAGGAGGAGGAGAAAGAGGGGGAGGAAGAGGAGGATGAGGAGGAAAAGGAGGAAGAGGAGGATGAGGTGGAGGAGGAGGCGGACGACGACGACGACGATGAGGACGAGGACGCGGACGAGGAAGAGGAGGAGGAGGAGCAGGAGGAGGAGGAGGAGGAGGAGGAGGGTGCCATCGACAGGGAAGGTGCGGGCCACGAGGTCCGCTGGCTCGACGCCCGCGTCCGCCCCCTCACTCTTATCCGCAATTGCGGGGTGCTGCGTAGGGTGCAGGGTCCTTCAAACAGTACACAGAAGGTCCAGGAGGGTGGGGGTGTCAGAGGGAGTGTGGGGACCCAGCGTCTTGTTTTGTAGGGTGCATGGTCCCTAAAACAGTACACACAGAAGGTCCAGGAGGGTGGTTCCAAGAGCAGAGATCCCGAGGGATGGGCTGGAGGTCTGGGGATGTCAGACGTGGTAGGGGCAGTGTGAAGGTCAGGGTGGGTTCCAGACCAGGAATTGCCGTGCGGGGCGCGGAAATTACGGGGTGGGGGGCTAGAGAACAGGACGTAGTGTCTCTAACCCGGCCCTTCATTTCACACGCCTCTGGGGTTGGCGGATATGTGGGATGAGGTGAGACCGCGAAAGCGTTTGCGAGGGAAGGTTAGCCTCGCCGCCGTCGCCCTCTGCCAAACCCAGGCTGGCTGAGGCGACCTTGGGGGCTCGGAATTCTATTTCGTCTGCACAGACGGCTTCCCATCTAGCCTCGTCTCCCCAAACAAATGTAGATGTGTGGGTGCCTGCACACATACGTGCATCTTGGGAGTGGCTCCTTGGTGAGCCCAAAGCTCAGCAGGAGGATCCCACGTCTGCGGAGGGGCACACGGGACGGTGTGTGGGGGCGCGGGCACCACAGGGCGTTGTCGGGAAAGCCGAGATGGCTTCGAGATGGCCGGGCCAGAGAAGAGGCTCCCCAGAAGCTCCGAGAGGGCCCCAAGAGTACGTCCAGAGGCCCCGACCAGGAGAATTCATTTTCGCTGTTTCGATGTCCGGTTTCCCTCCATGTTTGTTTTCGAAGCGTCCACGACGGCCCAAGAGGCGTCCATGATCGCCCCAGGACGCCCCAAAAGAACCACCCACGGTTTTCTATCCGACCCCCAAACCCAAGAGGCTTCCAAGAGAGCCAAGACAGTTTTTAAGATAGCCCACGATGGCTCCAAGAGGGTCGCACAGGCTCGCAAGAAACTTTCCGAGGGCCCCAGGAGGACATCACAGAGGCCTCCGACAGGCTAGCATCATTGATATTTTGCATGCGTTCTGCTTTGGGCGTCCTCGCCTCTTTTTGATTGAATGGCGTTTGCGACGGTTTCAGGCCTCCAGGATCGTCCCAAGCCGGCCCAACAGGGTCCCACGAAGCCCTCCAGCTGGCCCGAGAGATGAGCGCAAGCCAAGAGGCTTCCAAAAGAGCCCCAAGAGTCCCTGGACGTCTGCGGCAAGACGGCCAAGATGGCCCAAGATGGCACTAAGAGGATCGACGAGGCTCCAAAGACGTTCCGAGAAAGCCCCAGGAGGATGCCCCAGGGGCTCCCAGCAAGCGGCTTCGCTGATTCGTCAAAATTTTGCTTTGTGATATGTCACAGTTCTCCCCCTCTTGTGGCTGGTAGAGCGTCCACAAGGGCCCTGCAGGCCTCCAAGATTGCCCCGCCACGGCTCCAGAGGGCCCCGAGAGGCTCTCCAGCGGGCCGAAAGAGCCCCAAGAGATCTTAATACGACGCCGAGATGCCAGCAGGACCCCAAGACGGCCTCAGTGGGGCCAAGATGGCGCTGGCAAGCCTCCCTGGGGACTCGCGGCAGGCCCGGGGAGCCCACAAAAGACCATCACAGGGAGCCAAGGCCGCCCCCCTAACGCTCAAGAGCGCTCCAGTGTGCACAACCGCCGCTGCTCCGCGAGGGCCACAGCTCATCCCCACGACTCTCCTCCCCTCCCACCAGCACAAGAACTTCCCCACGAGTGCACACCAGTGCTGCCTGAACATGAAGCCCAGCGCCTTCCGGAACACGTCCGCCACGTCCGCCAGAGCCCCGCAGTGGGGGGGGCACAGGGGCATGAGCGGACGAGACGTGATGGCCAGGGTCAAAGGACAGGCGGAGAGGGAAGAGCGCCGAGAGGGAGGCGGAGGATGTCGGAAAAGGGGATCCTCTGGGGGAGCCTGCGGAGGCACCTGGGCACAGCCTGCCCTGTCCCAAGGTGGCTCCATAGTGCCTGGAGCTGCCCCACGGGGGTTCCCATAATCCCCCCCGAACGCTCGAAAGGCCCCCACTGGTGCCCTGGATGGCGCTCCCCCCTGCCCCGCCCCGCGACGGCCACAGGAGAGCCGCAGCAGCACCCGCCAACTGCCGCAAAGAGACCAGAAGGGGAGTCGGGGCGGAGGAGCGGGGCGTGCGCAGTAGGGTCATCAGCTGCTGTCACTGCTGCTGGTACACGCCGATCCTATTTCAAGAATCGATATGCTTTTGCTGTGGCTCGTTATTCTCTGTGAGGGCCTGAGCCCGATCTACTTCATCCGCCTTCCTACTTCATGTTTTTACCCACTTCTTCCGACCGACGGGTAATGAGCGTGGTGGGGGGTATCACGGGATTCTGGGGCGGGCCCAGGCTGCTGGGAATTACTTGCCTGGGGGGGCAGGGTATGCCGGGGCCTGCCAGCCAGGGCCTAAGGTCGTTTTCAACCTGTTCGGTGCAAGGTTGGACCACTGCCTTGAGTGAATGACGTAGGAGCGCCCGTGCGCTGTGTCTGGTGCATTGTCCACGACGGACCGCTGCACTTCCAAGTCTATAATGATTCGGATATTTGTTTCTCGGCGCCTACCCTACAGAATATGCCGCATCCAATACTAGGATTGCTTTCGACGCCTCGCCTCGCAGTAGCCTTCATCACAATTGCAGGCTGACCACGTGGCCTCAAGGTAGGCTGAGCTTGGTTCCAGAAGTATTTTCCATGTGCTCATCTGTTTCCATCCGTGCGATGAGAGAAGTCGGTGTCGGTCGAGTATCTCTCTCGACGCGTACCGAGCACGTCCGTCTTTTTGCCACAGGGGGAAGGAGACAGAGCTCGAAGGGCCAGCTTTCCCCAAAAAGTGAGTGCCGTACCGTGGAGGACTTCGCTCGACTCTCCTGTGGTATCGGCTGCGCGTGCCGGGGTTCCGCCCGGGGCCCGCCTGGTGGGCGCCCTCCCCAGAGCTCAAGCGACGCCCCTCGTGCTGGGAGAGGGCGTGCCTGGCTTTCGCCCTGTGCCCTCGTGCCCGCCTGGCGCTCGTGGCCGCCTCGTGGGCGCTTCGTGCGCTGGGCGGTGTGGAGGGGACGAATGGTTGGGAGCCATGAAAGAACGGGACGGGAGGAAAGGCGAGGAAGAGACATAGGGAGACGGAGAGGAAGAGGAGGAGGAGGAGGAGGAGGAGGAGGAGGAGGAGGAGGAGGGGGAGGAAGGGGAGGAGGAGGAGGAGGAGGAGGAGGAGGAGGAGGAGGAGGAGGATGCCGAGGGTTCGCCCGGCGCCCGCCCGTGATCGCCAGGTTGGGCGCTGCGTAATGGGGGGATCGTAAGTGGGGGGGCGGCGAGTGTGGTCCGAAAAGGTACCCGAATGGTACCTAAACGAGCCCCCTGGGGCTCTGGAGGGGCCCGAAAGGGGCACGATAAGGGGCCCTTTTTTGACCCCCCCATTTGTGACCCCCCCATTAAGCCACGCCCAAGCCAGGTGGCCGCCTCGTCGGAGCCTCGTGCGCTGGGCGGGTGTGCCGACGTTCCGCGGCGTGCCCGCGCGTCGGCGCCTCGTGGGCGCCTCGTGCAGCGGGCGGCCGTGCGGTTGGCACCGCGCAGTTCTCGCCAGGCGGCTCGCTTGCACCACGCAGCTTGCACCGCAGAGCTTCTCGCACCGCGCAGCCTGCGCCAAACGGACTGCACCGCGCAGCCTGCACCGAGCAGCCTTCACCTCGTGGCCTGCACCGCACAGCTTGCCGCCACATGGATTGCGCTGCATGTGTCGCATCAGGGCTTGCACCACATAGCTTGCACCGCGTAGCTTCCACCACATGGACTGCACTAGGAACACATTGATTGCACCACAGAGCTTGAACATTCACAGTGCAATAACTTACATTTTGGGGTCCACGCTGGTAAGCATGTGTCCTTCACTCTCCTCCTGCCTCTCCAAGTTGATGGCCTTGCACGTCAGCAGGCCGCTGACGGGAGCATTAGTTCGCCAGCAAGGTCGAGGGATCTTCGGCGCCAGCAGTGAGTGCGTCAAGCGTGTAAACTTGGACGCATATCTGCGGTATTCGAGGTGCCGGCGTGTGGAAGACGCTCTCCGTTCGTCGTCGTCGTCGTCGTCGTCGTCGCCGTCGCCGTTCCCCCCCTTTCCCCGGGCCCTCCCCCTCAAGCGCGCCAGCCAACGCGAAATTCAGCAACGCCGTAGTTGAGTGGAAGGGGCGCCCACACCGTGTGGTGAGTCGGTGGGGCTTCGGGGTCCCCGCGCAGTTTTGGGACTCGAGGCCCTCTCCGAGGACGTCTCGGGCGACGGGGGCCTCCGGGGTCCCAAGAGACCGTGCGGCGACAGACCGTGCGCTGAGGCTTTTGGGGGGGTATCGAGAGGTCACCGCACGGCCTGCCGCCGCCACCGTTTCGGGACTCCAAGCTCCTCCGCGCTGGAGGCCTCCTGTCGCCGTCCGAAGAGGGCTCCCCGGATCCCGCTCGCCGTGGCTGCCGCGGCGTCTCTTTTTCGGCCGCCGCCCCTCCCTTGAAGGCCCGGCGGGTCCCGCTCGCGCGCGCCGTCGTGCGATGTTTGCGCCTCGTTGTTTTAGTGTTTCTGGGTCCCTGGGCCCCGCTTGCTCTGGTTGGCGCGGCTCGCCCATCGCCTCCGCCGTAAGGTCCCGTGTCCCGCTTGCTCTGGCCGCTGCGATGTTCGCATCGCCGCCCCAGGGTTCCTGGGCCCGTGGGTTCCGCTTGCTTCGGCTGTTGCTACAGAGCGCCCTGTTTCCGCTCGACCTGTCTGCCGCGTCAGTATGCCCGGTCCCCGCCCGTGGGGGTCCCCCCGTCCCGCTCTTTTTTTGGCTGCCGCGAGTGTCGCGTCGTGGCCCCTGGGGTCTCTGCTCGGGCTTGCCCTCGGCTGCCGCGCCTCTCTCCGGCCGCTGCCCACCAGAGGAGAAGGAGGAGAAGGAGGAGGAGGAGGAGGAGGAGGAGTGTAAACCCAAGTGCCATCAACGATGTTGGAATTAACCCTCCCTCCAAGCTCCCTCTTCACAGGCCCCTACAACGGTTCATTTCCATTGAGGGAATTGCCTCGTTTGAAGACAACCGTCGGAAGATCCTGAAGCATGCCAAAAAATTGTTCTCGGGATAATAACGCCACGTATCAACCTGACTGCTGTAGCTTGGCGATCCGGAATCGTGCCATAACGCCATTGTTTGGATTTCAACACTGCGAACCAACATAACTGTTGTACCCGCATAATCTTGAATCCGTCCAAAACACAAGTTTTGATACGTTGATCATGGGAATCCATGAAACTCTTGCAACTGTTTAAAACGGATGTGCGCGGCGCTACGGCGAGAGCCACATTTTGAAAAGGAACGGCCCTCAATCCGTGAAGTTCTTGTAATTTTTGTAAGACGATTTGTGCGCGGCGCTAAGGCGAGAACCACATGTTGAAATCCACCCGCCCTCAATCCGACTGCAAATGTTAAAAAACGAGTGTGCACGGCGCTAAGGAGCTCAGGCGAAACGCCCGGCCCGCTCTAAAAACTGGCCTCGGGGTGCGACAGGGAGGAGTTGTCTACAAGGAGGAATGGAGCAGGAGGAAGAGGAGGAGGAGGAGGAGGAGGAGGAGGAGGAGGAGGAGGAGGAGCAGGAGGAGAGGAAGAAGGAGGAGGAGGAGGAGGAGAGAGGAGGAGGAGGAGTGGTGCAGGAGGAGGAGGAGGAGGGAAGGAGGAGGGAGGAGGGAGGAGGAGGCCCTGGCTCCCGCCTGCCTTCGGCTGCTGCGACGTGCCTGTCGCTGCGCGCGAGGCCCCGGGCCCCACGGGGCCAGGCCGCCCGGCCCTCGCTGCCCCTCGCCCTTGCCGGCTGCTTCTCCTTCTCCTCCTCCTCGGAGGAAGGGGGGAAGGAGGAGGGAGGAGGGAGGGGAGGGAGGGGGGAGGCCCTGGCTCCCGCCTGCCATCGGCTGCTGCGACGTGCCTGTCGCTGCGCGCGAGGCCCCGGGCCCCACGGGGCCAGGCCGCCCGGCCCTCGCTGCCCCTCGCCCTTGCCGGCTGCTCCTCCTTCTCCTCCTCCTCCTCCTCCTCTTTCTCCTCCTCCTCCTCCTCCTCCTCCTCCTCCTTCCTCCTCTTTCTTCCTCCTCCTCTTCTCTCCTCTGTCTCCTCCTCCTCTCCTTCTCCTCTGTTCTACTCTCCTTTCTCCTTCTCCTCCTCCTCCTTTCCTCCTTCCTCCTCCTCCTCCTCTCTCCTTCCTCTGTCTCCTCCTCTTTCTCTCCTCCACCTCCTCCTCATCCCTCCTCCTCCTCCTCCTCCTCCTTCCTCTTGTCTCCTCTCCTCCTCCTCTTTTTCATCCTCCTACTCTCCTCCTCCCTCCTCATCCTCCTCCTCTGTTTTCTCCCTCCTCTTTCTCATCCTCCTCCTCCTCCTCCTCCTCCTCCTCCTCCTCCTTCTCCTCCTCCTCCTCCTCCTCCTCCTGTTCCTGGGGCGGCGTGCCCCCTGCTGGGGGGCGGCTGCCGGCCGCGCCCTGGCTGCCGCGCGTGCCTCGTGCGCTCCGGGTTGCCTCCTCGTGCCTCTGCGCGTCCCGCTTGTCTGCTTCGGGCTGTCTTGGCGGAGCTGGACGGCGCCCTGGCGTGGAGCTAGGCCTGCCCGCCTCCGAGGAGGAGGAGAGGGAGGAGAAGAGTGGGAGGAGGAGAAGGAGGGAGGGAGGAGGAGGAGGAAGGAGGAGATAGGAGAGGGAGGAAGTAGGTGGAATGTAGGTGGGAGGAGGAGGAGGAGGAGGAGGATTTGACCTGGATCCTGGACCCCATGGGCCAGGTCCTCTTCCTCATTCTCTAGGCCTCCTAGATGGGGTCGGAGTAGATGGGGTCGGAGGATCGGGCCGTATCGGCAACGCATCGCCGATGCGGCTGGATGTGGAGCCCGATGTGCGCCACGTCGACGTCGCCGACGTCGACGATGCACCGCCGGTGCACGATCCTCCGACCACATCTACTCCAACCCCATATAGGAGGCCTCTATGGTGCTGGCCTGCTTGCCCACCCTTCCCGCCGTCTTTCGTCTCGGCTGCGCCTCTGTACCTCCCGGGTCTTTTGTTCGTTCGTTCTGTTGTCGATCAGTCGGCATGTCACCGACCCGTCCCTGGGGTCTGTGCAAGGTCTGCAGGCTTAGGCTTGACAGCTCCCATCGCCCAAATCGGATGAGAGTGCCAGCCTGCGCAGAGCATCGTGCTGCCGAGCGTGTGTACGAGCGAGAGCGAGATGAGCAGACGGACGAGAAGGCAGGCTGACCGGGTGGTAGCAGTCCACAGTCATTTCAAGCTCCTCGCCTTGTATCTTGCCTGGCCTCTTCTGCCGCGCTTGCCGTTGGCGTGGCGGCATCGAGTTGGTTGCCGCATCTCTTTGTAGGCATATTCGCATGCAGGTGGTGAGTTCGTTGCCCAGCTGGAAGTTTACCATCGGCATCGCCATCACGACCGCCCCCACTACCACTACCTGCACCCCCCTGGCCAACGCCGTCAGAACGGGCAATGCTGTCCCCCCCCCTTGTCCCACGTAAACTCGGGCGGTGGTGCAGTGGCGAGGGGGCGTGCTTTCTTTTCCCAGGCGGGGGAGTGCACTGCGTGCCGCGTTCCCATGTTTTGTTTTGCCCCCTCTCCTTTCCTCCCTTCCCTCTCTCCTCCCTGTTACTTTCTTCCGGTCGCCTTCGCTCCTGCGGCCTTTCTCCCCGCCTTCTCCTTCCCATTCCTCTCCCTCACCTGTACCTCCTTCTCCCAGTCGATCCTCTGCCGTATAAGGCACTCTTGAAGCCCACCTCGGGACATCTTCGGCCACGTTGGGGCCATAGTCGGCCATCTTGGGGGCCTCAGCGTTCGGGAGATGCGTTGACGAGCCCCCCCCCTTCAGGAAACCTGATTCTGGACTTCCTGGGAGGTGTTGGAAAAGGGAGAAGAAGGGCAGCCAGCGTCTCGCGCGCCCTGCCATCCCTGGCAAGTGGGATCAGCGGATGTCAGGCGGACGGATGGTGCGGTATTCACTTTCGCACATGACGTCTGGCGCCCCGCAAGTCCTCTGATGATAGTTTGGCCCGGCTCCCAGCTGCTGGCAATCACCTGAGGCGTTGTCATGCCTTTTCTCCCTCCTCCCATCGTGCTTTCTCCTCCCTCCTCCCCCTCCTCCTCTCTAATCCCCCCACGGTGCACCTTCTCTTCGATCCTCGCCCCTCCCCTCTCCTCCTTCCTGCTCTCCATCCTCTCCGTCCTCCCCGGCCCCTCTCCTCCCACAGTGCCTCGTGCTCCCTCCTCTCCTTCCCGAGGCCTTGCCGCCCAGGCTCGGTGGTCGGCCTCTCGGAAGACGCCGGGGCCCGTCCACGGCCACGCGGTCAGTCGAGAGCTCGCCCTGCCCCAGCCGCGCCGAGAGGGAAGGGAAGGAGGAGGGAGGAGGAGGAGGAGGAGGAGGAGGAGGAGGAGGAGGAGGAGGAGGAGGGGGGGAAGGAAAAGAAGGAAGGAGAAGGAGGAGGGGGGGAAGGGAAGGAGAGGGAAGGAGGAGGAGGAGGAGGAGGAGGAGGAGGAGGGGAAGGAGAAAGAAGGGAAGGAGGAGAGGGGAAGAGGAGGAGGGGGGGATGGAGAGGGGGGAGGAAAGGCCAGGTGCGCGCGCGCGCGCCACGTTGCGCATTTTTTCTCTATCCGCGGACGCGTGTGGTCGCCGACCTGCAATCCAACAGCAGAAACACCTCGTGCTATGCGAACTTATCGAGGGGGGTGAGGAGGAGGAGGAGGAGGAGGAGGAGGAGGAGGAGGAGGAGGAGGAGGATGGAGGAGGACTGAGGGAGAAGGAAGAGGAGGTGACGGAGGATGCCGTCGACGAGAGGAGGAGGAGGCGGAGGAGGGGAGGAGGAGGAGAGGAGAAAGGAGGTAGGGGGAGGAGGGGAGGAGGAGGAGGAGGGAGGAGGAGGAGGAGGAGAGGGAGGAGGAGGAGGAGGAGGAGGAGGAGGGGGGGAGGGTGGAGGGAGGAGGGAGGAGGGAGGAACCGGAGGGGACGGAGGGAGGGAAGGAGGAGTGGAGGAGGGAGGAGGGAGGAGGGGAGGAGGGGAGGGGAGGGAGGAGGGAGGAGGGAGGAGGGAGGAGGGAGGAGGGAGGAGGGTAGGTGGGAGTGAGGGGGAGGCGGAGGTGGAGGGAGGAGGGAAGGACGGGGAGGGATGGGAGGAGGTAGGAGGGAGGAGGAGGAGGGAGGAGGGAGGAGGGAGGAGGAGGCGGGGGATGTGGAGGAGCAGGGGAGGAGGAGGAGGAGGGGAGGAGGAGGAGGAGGTGGGGGAGGAGGAGAGGAGGAGGGATTTGCCCCCCCCCGCCGCCCCCCCCCCCCCCCCCCCCCCCCCCCCCCCCCCCCCCCTGTGGGCAGGAGGGTTGATGAGGGGGCGAAAAAGGGACGGCGGGAAACGAACAGCAACAGCATGAATTGGAGCGGAAGGAGCGGGAGGAACAGGAGGACCAGGGGCAGGCGGAGGAGGGGAAATGAAGGGGGCTACGACGATGACAGGAAAGACAACGATGAAGAACGACTCGGATTCAGAAAAGTGGCCCGTGCTGGGGCGAGAGCGCCACTCTGATTTGCAGTAGCAAGCGCCGATCTGAAAACGAGGCCTACGCTGCAGCGGGAGCACCATTTTGAAGCACCGGAGGAAACTGGATTGTGAAACACAACAGAAACATTTTTCGAAATCCTGTGTGGATCCAAAAACAGCACGCGGAGAGTGTCGAACATCTTCTGGACGGAGTCCGGGGGGAGAGGAGAATAGTATTCTACAGGCTTGCGCCACATCCGCCGACCCCTATATCTACGTAATGGCCTTCGGCCCATCCCGCCGCCGTGCCTGGGTTGTGGGTCATAGGCCTCGTGGATGTTCGTTTGGGTCTCGTGGGAAGCCTCTCGGGAGCCTCCTAGAGGCAGTTTTGAGGCCTCTGGGGATCGTTTTGGGGCCTCGTTTAGGCATCTGGGGGGGAGCCTCTTGAGGCCTCTTGGGGGGCCTCTTGGGGGCCTCCTCGGGGCTTCTTGGGGCCGGAGGCTCGGATTTTCGGTTCGCGTTCCCCTTCTTGGGCCCTTCTTGAGGCTGTCTGGGGGCCCTCGTGGGCCGTCTTGGGCGCCTCTTGGGCCGTCTTGGGCGCCCTGTGGGGCCGTCTTGGGGCCCTCTTGGAGGCTTCTTGGGCCGTCTTGGAGTGGTCTTGGAGGCTTCTAGGGACGTCATGGAGCGGCGGAAGGCCGAAAAGGCGAGAACACCAAAATCCTCCACATATTTTTTCAGAACAATTATGATTTGGCCTGTTGGAAGTGCTCTTGGAGGGCTCTTCAGCCGTCTTGGGGCTATTTTGGGCGTCTTGGAGCGATCTTTCAGAGACTCGGGGCCTTCTTGAACCGTCTTGGGTGCGTCTTGGGGCCCTCTTGGGTCGTCGGGGGACCCTTAATCCCCCCAGGCCTTGGGGGGGAGTCAAATTCCCAGTTTTGGGGCCCCTGGGGGGTGGGGGAAAAGAATTTTTGGAGGGGAATCTCACGCGCCCAGAGACCCACGAGGGGTCGGCGGATCTGCGAAAGCCTTGGAAGTGCGCTCACGCGCCCGCGACCGCCGCTAAACAGGTAGACAAGATGTTCGCGCTCGCGGGCCAGGCGCTAAACGGTAGGTGATGTCTCATGCGAGGTAACCTCTTTTCTCTCCTCTCCACATCCTCCCAGCAGCTTGGCAGCGTGCAGCTAAACATCTGTTCAACTGTTGTGTTTAAACCAGCTGGAGGCGCAAAGTCCGGCCTCACTGAGAGGATCAGCTGGGATAAACATTGAGCAGTTGTTTGCATGGCTAATTTAACCTGTGTATTCAGTCGGATCCGCAAAGGACGGCCTCACTGAGAGGATCGACTGTTTAAACGCAGATTTTAAACAGTTGAATTCGTTTCGCTTTTAACCCTTCGCTGTACGCTGCGCACTGGCGAAAGCGGTCTGGGTACATGCCCTAACGTCCTGCTCTTCCTCTTTCTCCTCTCGTTCCTCTTCGTCTCACTCCTCGACGACGACGACAACATCGACGGACGACGGACGACGACGACGACGACGACCTCGACGACGACGACGACGACGACGGGCGACGGACGACGGACGACGGACGACGGACGACGGACGACGGACGACGGACGACGACGACGACGACGACGACGACGACGACGACGACGACGACGGAGACGGACGACGGACGACGGACGACGGACGACGGACGACGGACGACGGACGACGGACGACGACGACGACGACGACAACGACGACGACGACGAAGTCCAGCGGCCTGGCGGTTTGATGGCGTCGCCGCGCCGGTCGGCCGAGCTGCACGCAGCGGTTCCGAGGGGCCCCGGGGGGCACAGAAGCTGCCTCCGGCCGCCCTCTCCCTCGTCGTCGTCGTCGTCGTCGTCCTCGTTCTCCTTGTCGTCCTCCTCGTTCTCCTCCCCGTCCTCCTCCTCGTTCTCCTCGTCGTCGTCCTCCTCGTTCTCGTCGTCCTCTTCCTCCTCCTCCTCCTCTTCCTTCGAGTTTTCTATCCGACTCGATGACGTACCAAGATAATGAGATGCACATATGGGGATCCAAAGAGATGGGATTCTTGTTACTGGCGGACCGCGCCGCAGGAACAGAGAGAGAACAGAACACCACCTCACCTCCTCTCACTCAGACCCACTCAGACTCAGTCACTCCCTCATCACTCAGACTCAGTCAGTCACTCAGACTCACTCATCACTCAGACTTACTCATCGTTCAGACTCACTCATCGCTCAGACCCACTCATCACTCGGACTCAGTCATGACTCAGACTCATCACTCATCACTAAGACTCACTCATCACTAAGACTCACTCATCACTCAGACTCACTCATCACTCAGACGCGCTCGTACTTGTACTCATACATTCACTACACTCACTCAGGTCCACTCATCGGGTGACTCTCACACACTGATGTTGAGGATGTGTCAGGCGATTCTGTGGCTTCAGTACTCCTAAGGGGAGCGGCGGGGGGGTATTTCCCTCGGCCCCTTTCGCGGATTTTTGTGGGGATGTCTCAGGTGGTTTGGCCATTTTCTCTTCCAACATGTTTCGCTTTCGGAGCAGTTTGCGAGGATGTCTCAGGCGATTCGCTGGTTCCAGCACTTAAGGGGGGCGGCGGGGGGGTATTTCCCTCGGCCCCTTTCGCGGATTTTCCCCCATATCCTAAGTATGGGGTTCTTGTTTATCCGCCTGGACCGTCGCCGGAGGCCACCGAACACACCACTCCCTCACTCAGACTCATTCACCTCATTCACTCAGGACCTCACTCATCACTCAGACCCACTCATTCAACTCAGACTCACTCATCATTCAGACCCATCATCACTCGGGACTTTCTACGTCATGACTTCCGACTCATCCCTTCGTATTACTTTAGGGACTCCACTATCACTCAAAACTCAGGTCAATCTCTCAGACCCACTTCATCACTCAGGACTCACTCGTTACTTTGTATTCATTTTACATTACTTACACTCACCTTCCAGGTTTCCATCATCGGATTGGGGACACACACACACCACCACTGATGTTTTGTTGAGGATGTCTCAGGCGATTCTGTGGCTTCAGCACTCCTAGGGCGGGATTTTTGCGGGGATGTCTTGGGCGGTTTGGCCATTTTCTCTTCCAACATGTTTCGCTTTCGAAGCAGATTTGCGAGGATGTCTCAGGCGATTCGCTGGTTTCAGCACTCTACGGGGAGCGGCGGGGGGGTATTTCACTCGGCCCCTTTTGCGGGATTTTGTGGATGTCTCAGGCGGTTTGGCCATTTTCTCTTCCAACACGTTTCGCTCCCGGAGCAGATGTGGAGGACGTTCGCGCCCAGTTTGCGGGGATGTCTCAGGCGGTTTGGCCGTTATGATGCTGGGCATATGTCGTTTTCGGAGCAATTTTGGGAGGATGTGTCAGGCGATTTGCTGGTTTCAGCACTCCCAAGGAGGAGGAGGAGGAGGAGGAGGAGGAGGAGGAGGAGGAGGAGGAGGAGGAAGAGGAGGAGGAGGAGGAGGAGGAAGAGAAGGAGGAAGCGAGGAGGAGGAGGAAGAGGACGAGGAGGAGGAGGAGGAGGAGGAGATGGAGGACAGGATGAACACGGTAGGAGCAGAAGCAGGAAGGGGATGATGCTGATGATGATGATGAGGTGGAGGAAGAGGAGGAGGAGGAGGAGGAGGAGGAGGAGGAGGAGGAGGACGTGGGCAACTCGAGTAACCAGGGCCAGACGATCGAGGTTCGATGTTCCAAAGCTTTAGGTTTTACTCAAACGCTTCCGCCTCACTCTCCTTCGCCCTCCTCTCCTTCACTCTTCTGCATTCATACTCACTCATACTCAGACTCAGTCACACGCAGGCTCACTCGC